TTGAATTTGCCATACAGGTAAAGCAAAAGGACAGAGGACATCTTTTCTTAGCTTTTGTTTAATTTTTATTTTTTATTCTTATATTAATCACCATAATATAAGAAAAATGAAAGAAAAGAGAAAAGGAATATTTTCTGTCATATTTCTCCTGTACGTAAAATTATAAATGTGGCAGATCATTGCGCATGTTCAATCTCATTGAGAAGAAACAGATAGATATGACTATTCAGCTATTTTTGAATATTATATGCTTTATCTTTCTAGACATCAGACTAAGAAAATGCCAGTTACTATGGCAGCGAGCGATGCCCACAATGTTTATGATACAATTGAACTCATATCAGCTGTTGGAGTTAAAAAATCAAAACAGAGAATTGATCATACGATAATTATAGCATTTTTAGCTGGTGTTCTTCTATCATTTGGCGGTCTGTTTCTCCTGATTGTTGGTGGTGGAAGTGCTCCACTGGCTCAGAGTCTCGGTCCTAGTATACACAAAATGATACAAGCCGCCGTATTTCCTATTGGTCTCATTTTGATTGTTATTACTGGCGCAGATTTGTTTACTGGTAATACAATGATATTAACGGTATCAACATTACATAGAAAAACAACATGTTTTGATCTTATCATATCATGGATAATCTCTTTCTTTGGAAATCTTGGCGGTTGTCTATTTTTCCAATGTATACTCGTTTATTATGCAGGTCTTCTCTCTAATGATCCTTATCGTTCATTTACTGTGAAATACGCCGAGGTAAAAGGTAACATTGAATGGCATCAAATATTTTTAAGAGGTATTGGTGGTAATTGGCTTGTATGTCTTGCAGTATGGCTGGGTACAAGTGCACGTGAATTACATTCAAAAGTAATCGGTATTTATCTGCCTATTTGGCTTTTTATTGCTGTTGGATATGAACACTCAATTGCCAATATGTTTACAGTTCAAATGGGTATGATGCTTGGTGCTGATTTGTCCGTTGGAAAATATATTTTGCGCACATTGATACCAGTTACACTTGGAAATATTGTAGGTGGAGGATTTTTCGTTGGTTTTACATATTGGTACCTTTATCTGGCGAAAAAAGTGGATACTGATGCTAAGATTGATTTTGAATCACCGGTTGGTAAAGGTTATCAAATTGTAAAACAACATGAGAAAATACAGCAAGCTCAACAATCATAATTTAGTCTATTAATTCAGTTGTGGCAGAAACTTCGCAAAATTGCGTCTTAAATCTGAAGAGTCATTCTTCTTTATTATAGACTGTTGAACTCTAACTCCTAAAAAGTTTAAAAAAAGTCAATAGTAGAGGCTCGTTATAAGTTTAGAAAGGTGACTTGTTTCATCTAATTGTCTAATCACCTTTTGTCTGATTTATACTACCGCTGCAAAAGTTTTTCGTACGTACCAAACTTTTTTTTGTTTTAACCATAACTCAGCAGAGGTGTGGACTTTCAGCAAACGGTTTTCTCTAAAATGTTGCCCAGTCGACCGAGTATATTCGTAGAAAAAACAAAATTTAAAATATTGGTTATTCTTGTCTGTAGATCGAGATCAATCCTCGAGCACCTTCTCTTCGGGTACCAAAGAGCCGCAAAAATGTTGTCAGACACCGCAACAGAATGTCCGGCAGTGAGAATTCTGTTCTATTAGAACATCAGCGAAGGAGTACGCGCTATTTTTGCAACCAATACGTATGCGTGCGCTCTATTTTTTTCGCAAAGCGTACACGTTTCAAATCTAAAAAAGAAAGCATCAGGAATGAAGCAGAGGAAAAAAATAGAAACTTTCTTTATATAGATTTTTTTCTAGAAAGCAACTTTGCAGACACAGACAATTACAAATAGAGAAAGTAGTTACACGTTTTTGAACAACAGAAATTTTTTAAATTTCGATTTTCAAACAACTTTTTGAGTAATACAGTGTTTAGGCGTCGCCGAATTCATCACGTTAAATTTCTGCGTCAAACTTCATTCGGGAAAGATGAAAAGTATTTCCCTTTATACAAATTAATGTTCTCTATCGAACTACGCTAGAATCAACTTTTCATACCGAAAAATGACGTTTTTATTGAAATTTTACTACGAGAATTTAGTCAATAACAGGAAGGAAAGAACAAAAATTTTTGCATATTTTCTCGTAGAAAACACACCACAACGAGATAATTTTTTTAACAAGAGAGAATGAGGAACAGAGTCAAATGCTAATAGCTTAGACGAGAGCCGTATCAAATAAGGCATATCTACTTCTTCTTAGGCATGCACAAATACCAATCATTATTGAAGATATTGTACAATATGATTGACTATCCAATAATATTGTGTCCCAATATTATTGTATACCCAATCTATTGGAACCAATAATATTGGTCACTCAATAATATTGTACAATAATATTGGGTAATATTGGGTTCGCAATACACTGGATTCCAACTTTTTAACCTTAATAGCATTTACCTCCATAAAAACGTGAGGAAGCATATCCCGATCGGGATTAGGCATGTACCGATTAACAATCGGTATTAGGGCATCCAGCAAAGTCGTTCCGCATCAGATTTCAAAACGCACTTAGAGTTGCCGAATGTCTCATTTTGTAGAAAAATGTTTGCTCTACCAAACTAAAGTACAAAAAGACATTTTAGTGTTATCTGCGACAGAAATACAAGCATCAAAAACTAAGCAAAATTGCGAAAAAAGCGACCGGCGATTATTTTTCTATGATTATGGTGCGTTTTCGATTTATTGTATTTTCTCTATATATAACATTAAAATTTTTGTAGCACTTCAGTTTGGTAGAGAAAACATTTTCTTACAAAATGAAGCATTCGGCAGCTCTGAGAGCTTTTCATAACTGATTTGGAACGACTTTGCTGAATGCCCTGATATTAATTATTAATCGGTGCATGCCCAACTGGGTTATTTTTTGATTCAAAACGGGATATAAAGCAGGATTCCGTACTGTAAAAGTAGGCCGACCTCAAGTAACCCATACCCAATACTATTGCGAAAACCCAATATATTGGACGACCGATAATTATTGGTCCCAATAGATTGGGTGACCAATATTATTGGGACCCAATATACTGTATTGGTGCATGCCTACTTCTTCTATCCATCTCGCACATGCTGCGAATTTCTGTTGTGAGTTCACAATAGAAAATTAGAGTTTCGTCACAACTTGTCTAACTTGCTTTTATTTGCCTTAACTTGCTTGTACTTGCTCTTATATTTAGTCTGCTATTCTTTTTCGACATATAAACATGCAAGAGGATAGAGAATTTTTCGTTCTGTTGTTTTCGTCACAACAGAAATACGCAGCATCTGCGAGATGATAGAAGAAGTAGATATGCCTTATTTGATACGGCTCTGAGAAAAGACGAAAATGGTTGTTCGCCGAAAACTAGTTCTTCATCGTTGACTTCTTATTTATCATCTATTGCTTAGAGTAATTTAGCTCAAAATATAGGAAAAATTTCAAAACAAAAAGTCTTACCTGCGTAAAGGTAAGAGACATCGCAAGACTTTTTGACTTATTCAATCCACAAGTTTTTTCCTACGAGATCTGGCAGAATTTTGTTGGTTAAAAGAAAAAGGGTTTTGTTCTCCATGTCTATCCTGCGGTATCCAGCAATCTTTTCTCACCAATATCTGTCAGGATGACCGTGGAGGAAGTTGTCTGTATTTTATTTTTTTGGAAAGTTAAATACTTTTTTCTTATAAAGTTATAAAAAATTTTCTCGTATCCAATAAACTTCTAGAAAACGTATACCTTAATATTTTGACTTTAACACGCGTTTTCATGTGTACAAAACCAAACTATTAATAGATAGTTGAAAAGGTCTTTTTTATGTCAGGAACATTCTATTTTTTTCCATCAATAAGACATTGAAGTCATTAGAATGATCACGCTA